CTGCGTGGCTCTGGCCGAGTTCCAGGGGCTGCATGTGGCAGCACAGACCCGGCCTGCTGACACGTGCCTTTAGACCAGACCAGGCTGGATCCATGCCAGCATGAGACACTCGTGGCGCTGCAGATGGCAGCTGTGGCGCCACAGAGACCACCAGGGTTAAATTATGCAATTATGTGCAATCATGCCTTTTATGTGCAAAACTGCGTGGGCGCACAATTGTGTAATTCCCCAGGGTGTACCTAATGCTTCTGTTGATGCATTCTAAAACCACATTTGCCTTTTGTTCAGCTGTATCACACTCCAAACTCATACTAAGTCTGTGATCTACCGAGATTCCCAAGTCCTTTCCCTCAGAGCTGCCAGCCAGCCAGCCAGGTGTCCCTCACTTCATATCTGTGTTTTTGATAATTCCTCATGGCGTGTAGCACCCTGCATTTGTCTCTTTTGTTATCTCCTCCCTCAGCCTGCCCCCTTCTAAATTCATATTAGGTGTTTGTTGCTTAAATTTTGGAGTCATCTTCCTTGAATAGCAGGAGAAAACAACAAAATATAGGAGTAGTGGGGGAGTTATGCAAATTGAGAGGACTACCAGGGCTTTACTGAACCCCTGAGTGACTGTTGGATTAGGAAAAAACGTCCCTCCAAAATTTACAAACACACACAAAAAACAGGTAATTTATTTTAAAGCATTCTTCTGCATACATAGCTTTCCATATACATACAAAATTAACAATACTGAAATCTCATTTTTAATCGTGTCATCGAATCAAAAAGTACAGCTGTAACACTTAAAAATAGTTTAAATTTACAGAATTGGCACATCATCTGAAAAGATGTCATTAAATGTTTTAGTTATATCTATACAACGTCTAAGAAAAATATCATGTTAATTTTAAAAGATAAGAAAAATATGAAATGTGTTACTTGTAATACTTTATCATATAATACAAAGATAATTTTTGTTGTCACTATAAAGACCAGGGCATATTATAAATAAGTATCCATTTCAATTGTCTGCCAATATTTTCTGCCAGTTGTAACTAAAAGTGTTCAGAAAATGCAAACTTTCAGTCAGATAGCACAATCTTCTTGAGATGTATATTTTATACCTAAGGATTTTTTTTAAACACACAATATTTATTGTAAGGTCCGTGACTGCCAAGATATAAAGCTAAAGTAGGCATTTCCAGCATAGCAAAAGGTAACCATGAAGGCAAAGAACTGTAGAAAGGAAAGAGAAAATAAACAAGTTAGAAAACTTGATAACTAGATAAGATTCTTAAAGCTTTCTAATCTCCGAAAATTACAGGATTTAAGAGCAAAAATATACACTAAAAGTACTCCATTCAGGCCTGAACCCAGTAATCCATAGTCTCAGTAAATATTCTGCAACTGTAATGGGTGTAACACACTCATGAAATACTACTTAATATAAGTAAAGATAACAAGAACTTTACACAAAACACTAACTTTTGCAAGATATAATTGGCGTTCCAAATGGCTTACATTGTATACTTTCCTTCGTTACTCTTTCGACAGACATGTATAATTACCTATAATATACACTGCATTATATTATACATAACATATTGTATAATATTAATGATATATAAACTGATGTTTTATTTATATAAGGCTATTGCTCAAATATCTGTATAGTTATGAGTTTGCTATATTTGGGAAGAAACCCTGAAGAATAGCTGTTAATTTATTGAGTTAGATACAGGTTCCCAACACTATCCTGTGCTAGTGGCAAGATTCCTGTTAGCCCAGCAAGTTATTTAAAATAGGCAGTTTATGATCAGTTATTTTGAATTCTGCTAAAGTAAAGATTGCTATTCTGAATTATGCTATAATGTATTCTGAATTAAGTAACAAATAAGGAATGTTGTTCATGTTAACCCTTATGTTATTATTTGCTTAAGTCTGTCACTTATACAGAAATGGATCTTAGAAAAGTATCACTAAACTTGTTTAAGGCAGGAGGCAGGGCAGGGTGGCACCTTAGGCTAAAAATGGACAATCAGTCCCAGTTTAATTCGCAGCTGATTGGACTCAGGGGAGTCCTTTACACAGGAGGTTTACATGGCAGTTAACTGCCCCCAAATTAGCTGTTTGTTCTAAGGTCAAGTGTTAATTCTGATACTTCACAAGTACTTAATGTGGGACAATGGGTTTGTCCATCTGTAAGGTCTGAGAGAGACAGGCTAAGTACAGACAATCAAAAAGTTGGAGGCTGAATCCATTCAATCTTTGCAGGTTAATCTAAACTGCCTAGATCAGGAGCAGGCAATTATTTTGGGCGGGCGGGGGGGAGGCGCTTACCCAGTTTTGGCAGGCTGTTGAGGGCCACATGGGTAGCCCTGCCCCTTGACAGGTGCCCTGCCCTCTGGTCACCATCTTGGGACCAATGTCCCAATGTCTTTGGTTCCAAGACATTGGGATACTGGTCCCAGGGCCAGCACCAGTGGGGCCCAAAGCAGGGCACAGGCTGGCAGGGGTCTGTGAAGCCAGGCTGGGGTGCACCAGCAGGGAGAGGGGGGACCTGGCCTGGCTCCATAAAGCCCCTAAGGGCTGGGAGCCCATGCTCCTGCCACCCTGCTCTGGACCCTGGCCCTGGGACACCAGTGCAGGCCCCATGCTCCCGCTGGCTCCCCACCCACTTACTCCCAGTGCCCCCCAGCCCCATGGTACAGGCAGGGGACAGCGCAAAGCTCCGACCCCCTGCTCTCTGGCAGGGAACAAGCTGGTGCTGAGTGCGGGGAAAAGTGGCCCCTCCCCCACCCCATGGCCAGGACTCCCTGCTGCAGCCACTCACAGCCCATGCTGGGCTGTCCTGAGCTGGCACAGGCAGCCCCAAGTGGGCTGCAAGTGGCTGCAGTGCAGAGCGCTGGCCATGGGGCAAGTGAAGGGCCACTTTTCCTTGCGCTCAGCACCAGCTTGTAACCCACCCATGCTGCCAGCCTGGGCTCCGCACCGGCTCCAGGCTCGCCCATCAGGGCTGCACGCAGCAGCAGTTGTGGCCCCCCTGCGTGCTGTGCCGGGCGGTGTTGGCTGCTGCTGCCCACCTGGACCTCGTGCACTAGGCAGCCCAGAGGTGACAGTGGCAAACACTGCCTGGTGCAGCAAGCAGGGAGGCCACAGCTGCTGGC